CGCCATGCCATTGCTGTCACTGTTAGGAAACTGTTTTAAACAAACACAGCGTGAGGATAGTTTTTATGGTATTGAACCAAATAGCAAAGCATTTCGTACTTCTTAATTAGCATCTTGATTTAATTTTATGACTGAGCAAGCCTCACTTGCTAGGTAACGACTAGAGTTATGAAACACCCACAGTAAAAAGTCTGATCTACTGCTTCTATTCCAAATACTCCAAGGAAGCGACCCCGTCTTTCCCCTCCGAAAAGACGGTGTTTCGCTTGGTCTGGCACCGAGGCCGGAAACGCCTGCCTCTCCTTGGGGCTGCGCGCCGCAGGGGCAGGAAACCCCCCGTGACTGTAACGAAGAATGTGATGTTTTCCTAATAACCGCAACAGCCTACATTATAATTGCTTCAGTGATTTTATCATCTTCGAGGACAGAGTGAGAGCAAATGGGTAGTATGGGGAGCTAGAAGTAAGAAGAGGGAGGAAAGGAGTGAGGCGAGGCGAACACAGGTGTAGCCCGAGGTGAACGTACGGGTGTGAGAGCGAGAGATCTCTGCGAGGGACCACCCACCGTGGCGGTGGGCTGCCACGTGAGGACCCCAGCCGAAGAGGCAAAGAAACACAAGCTCCTTTGCCTCTGCTAATGTCTGTCTGCCCTGGAAGTTTCTGACCGTCCTTTCTTATCCCGATTGTATGAGTCAGCTACAGCTGCGTAACAACGTCCCCCAGGCTTCACACCTGCAAGCGGCCAGCACTTCCCATCCCACCAGTTCTGTGGGGCAGGAGCCCCAGGTGATTTAGATAGGTGGTTCTCGCCTGGATTCCGGCCCCGACAACGTAGCAAACTGTTGGAGGGCTCTGCTGTCCTTTGCAATGTCAAGTGGGCGAGGATCCGCTCCTGAGGTCTCTCACGGGACTCCTGACAGAGCTCAGGGGACCTGCTGCCACCTCAGGCATGCGGTCCCCTCTGCAGGGTTGCTTCACGCTGTAGCCGCTGGCTTTCCCCAGAAGCAAGAGATCTGAAAGTGTACTAGAGAGCCACAGCACCCCAGGTGACAGCCACAGTCTTTCACAGCATGACCTCAGAAGTGACATATTCTATTACTCACAGATGAGTCATAAAATCCAGCCCACACTCAAGGGGAGGGGCTTGCACAAAGACATGAAGACCGAGAGGTGGCTGTCGTGCACTGCCACTTACACTGAATTCACTGCTGTGCCTCGGGTGGTCCCCAGCCTGTGGGCAGGGGACCAGAGAACTCGGGTAGGTGTCTGTACAAGGATAACAATGTGTGAAAGAAAAGCTTCTCTTTAGTTCAAGTTCTACTCTTCATCTAATAATTCAGAAGTGCAATCATGCCAGCAAATAACAGGTGTTCTCATATATATATATATATATATATATATACACACACACACACACACACACACACAATTCTCTTTTAATGTTTAAATTATGACATCTGGTATTTGCTTTAAATAACTCAATTTTAAAATATTGGAATTTAGGAGATACACCATGGTAAAGATGAGTTAAGCATTGGTTGAACTGGTTTATGGATACGTAAAAAAAAAAGAAAAAACAGTAATTTATCACATCGAACAGTTTTAACCATAATTTCTTAGAATAATGTAGCTCCCAGGAAATAGAGTTCCCAGTGCACCTTCAAAATGTCTTTTTGCAGTTGGCTTATTTATCTAGGACCCAAGTAAGGACCCCCCTTATTGACTCAGCTACGTGTATGTGTGTAGCGTCCTTATGTTTCTCTGTCCCGTGTATTTTCTGTAAATTTCTTTTTGTGTCTAGACTGGACACAGTTCTTTTGGCAAGACTATTTCGTGGGTGGCTCTTACTCTGTGATGTCAGGAGGTGTGCAATGACACTAACTCGATCATTCTGTCCGGGTGTTGCCAGCTTGAACAACCCCTCGCAATAGTATCAATCTTTCACCTAATTAATTTAGCCTTGAGATATTTTGCATATGAATTCTTTCATTCTTTACTGCAAAACAGTCATTTTCCAATTAGATTATTTTTTTGGCCTGTGGAAGTTAGGATTCTTCTATAAAGAATGCATTTATATCTCTTCATCTATTTGGTTTCCTTGAAGTGTAGTTTATACAGAAAAGGCAAGATAAATGATGGATTCTTTGCTTCTTGATCAATTTTTTCTAATAAGTTATCATCCTAGAAACCTGAAATTAATCAGTGAAGGTTGTTTTGGGCATTGTGGGATTTTTATATATTTGATATGTTTCAGTACATCGCTGTGATTGTTACAAGCCTTGAGATTTTATAAATCCCTCTGAGTCCTTATTCCTCTCGATTCAGAAATGTCATTTCTCATGTCGATGCCAGTGTTTTGAGATCCCCTTTGTTTCCTGCCCTGTACATTTGCTTACACGGGGGCTGTGCACTCCAACGAGATTCAGGATGGCTATGAGGTGCACCTTTCCTTTAGAAAGTAAGAGAACAGCTCTGAAATGATATGCCCATCACAGGTAGACTTTTGGCTTGACCCACAGTTTAGGCTAGTGCACATACAGAAACTGAAGATCTAGAAACTGATTTATTTACAGTTTTCGATGCCTATACACTGCTTACAAAACTTCTCTGTAGCTCAGGTGCACACTTAGAATAGTCCTAGTCAGCCCTGGCTGGCGTAGCTCAGTGGATTGAGCGCGGGCTGCGAACCAAAGTGTTGCAGGTTCGATTCCCAGCCAGGGCACATGCCTGGGTTGCAGGCCATGACCCCCAGCAACCGCACACTGATGTTTCTCTCTCTCCCTCTTTCTCCCTCCCTTCCCTCTCTAAAAATAAAAATAAATAAAATCTTAAAAAAAAAGAACAGTCCTAGTCACTTAACATTGTTAAGTGATGCTTGAATAATGAAGAAATACAGATTTTACATTATTTCAGACATTTCTTGCTTGATTTTTGTCCACAGAAGTATGCATAGTAAATGTACTGATCTCTCAATAATTTTTGTAAATAAGCAGAGCTATACTTACTACCTACAAGATACGATTTCCAAGAGACTCTTTGCCAATAGCATACTTGATTTGAAATTTAATGCTGTGTGAATGAGAATTCCAGAACAGATGTTGGGCGACTTTGTGTGACTAATTAAAGATCACTGCCGTATCTCCACAGTCATTAGGCTGGGATAGCCTTTGGATAACACTCTCTGGGCTCCAGAAGTGGGTTTGTTCCTGGGAGAAACTAATATAAAGATAGTTTATAGATAGAGCTTCAAGAAAGTGAAGAAAGAATATCAAATTGACACCATTTCCCAATCAAGAAAAATGGCTCTCACACATCAGGAATGTGTTAACTGCGTGGATTTTTCCAGACATGGATCGTTTAATGTATGAAAGAGACAGAATGAAACATTTTACTTATTTCTGTTTCTGAGCTTTTCTGTTATTAAAAGCCTGCTCATTGTACTTCTAGTAATGGGTACAAAGAATGAATTGCAGATCGATGATGCTTGTAGTGGGCTCTATTTTTGCGTTTCCCTCTTTCAGGTTCCATACTTACACAACAATGTAAAACTGCATGATTAGAATAACAATGGCGCAGCTTTCCCTGTTTATCAGCTGCATTATTTATTTCAGGTGATCCGATTCAGCACGCTGTGTTGAGTTTGCTTTAGTAACCAAACGTTCATTAGGGACCTTCTATGTTCACAACCTCAGTTTGTAGGGATCAAAGATCCCCAAGGCATGACCCTCCCCTTGAGGAAAGCCCCTCCCCTCCAGAGGGGCAGACGGGCTGTGAATAAAGGAGGGGAAACAAGAAGGGGTGGGCGCCTGGTCCCAGCAGGTCACCCAGTGAGGCTAGGAAGTGACAAACTTTCGTGTTACTGCTGAAGCGGAGGTGCTCTGATACGGAAAAGGAAACTTTCCAAATTTGTTCTGGAGTGACTAAGTTATTCTTAGATGGCAAAGCAATAATTCTTCTTTTCTTTCTTCTTTTTTTGGATACCTGAAGTCAGCAATTAAATACAACTTGTCTCATGTGGTGATTCAATGGGCTTCTCATTTGAAGAGAAAAAAGCAACGGCGTCTCTTCCATCTCATTAGAAATGACTGCAGCATTGGGAAAAATGGGATTCGTTGTTCAAACTTAGAAAACCTTTTCCCTTTTTGGTCTGGATGACGTTATATTAATGATTGCACTCCCTCTGCCTTTGCAGCAATTGCATTATCTGATTGTGCTTTTTCCTCTGCTGGGAAGTTGGGAGACGGTACCTTTTCACAGGATTCTGCATTCAGCATGGATGGTGTGATTGTCAACTGTTACAACGGATGCTAGCCGTTTAACACTCCGGACAAGAATGTGGGGCTAAAAGAGACACCTCACCCAGAACGCAGAGTCTGCAGCTCCCACGGTGGCTGCTGCGGTGACTCTCCAGGTAGTGGCGGAAGGCAAAGCCCCCACCCACGCAGGCGCAGCTGCCAGTGCACGGCTGTGAAGGGGAGAGGCCAGCGGTGGAGGAATGAACAACGTAGTATTCGCGGAGTGGTGGCAAGCAGTACTTGGTGGCTACGACACATTCTGTTCTTTACAACCAAAAACAAAGGAATTGCTGCTGTAAAACGTGGTTACACCGCCTGGAAGGCCTCTACGAACCTGGGGAAGGACATCCGTGTTGGGCCAGGTGCCAGTAGTCCCCTGGCAGGAGCCTGGACCGCCCAATGGCTAATTGTGTTGAATGGGAATTGGGTTTTGGTTGTAAGCACCCTGCACCCATCCTGGATGTTTACCTGAGAAATCAACACACACACCTGCTGTTTTACGACGCCATTCCCTCCTGAACTGCGTTTGGTGCAAATTGCTTTTGGTAGTCGAACAGAAAAGAAAAATGAGAGAGTGTCTCTGTTTGGCCTTTTATTTTAAAGCCACCAATCGCCAACTAGCACCAAGGGGTTCACTGATGTGTTCTGAAGCGCTGTGTTCACGAGTTCACACATGTATATTGAGTCTGATGCCCTTTCTTCTCAGCTCGAGAGCCACCGTGCCGGCGTGGACCGCATTGCACGTGCGATGCAGAAGCCGAGTCCCAGTTGTATGTGTTTCATAAAACCCGCCTGACGAGCCTTTGGATTTACCATTCGCTCCCCAGCGAGCTGCGCTGGAATGTGACATTAGCTGAGTTGGAATACAGTCTCTGCTTCTCCCATTTATTTTGGCTGTCTTGGATAAACCGATTCAAATAAAATGGCCTTCCTTTTCAACATAAAGTCAGGTCAATCAATGTTTGGTCTACTCTCTCTTTTTGTTAACTGAGAGTTTTGTAACTTAATCAGAGAACCGAAATACACATGCCTGAGTTTCACTGCCCACAGAGAGGCTTTGCTCCCCAGGGGGTTTATTCGCGGGGCTGGGGGAGGGAAAGGAGCTTTGGCGTCCTCCTCAAGTGGCAGCTGCTGGGTTTGCTGTCTTTGACCCACACGGAGGCGCTCCCTGACCCCTGCGCAGTTCAGAAGATGTGAGCGCTCCTGAATGAACCGAGGTTTGGAGAGATGGACGAAAACCAGGGTCTTTGGGATGAAACTGGATCAGGTGGGAAGAGGGAATAGTACAGAAAAAAAGGATGCATAATTTGTAATTGTTATAAAAACATTTCCTATTTTATACCAATAAAACCAACTTCCAAGGAATTTATAACAGCGGCTTTATGGGAGGTGTTTATAGGTCAGAGACTCTGTCGTTTTCTTATTGTCTATATTAATTATTTGCCATTTGATAACCTGTTGCCATTGCTTTAATAGTTGACCGATTTGCAAAGGTAATGCACAGAGGGCATTTACCTGGGAGACTTAGAATGCTGTGTAAAGAGATGCATTTGCCCAAAAGACTGGTCTTTGGGCAAAACTAATACAATCACTTAAAGATTAAAACAATTAAAATATTAAACCAGTTATAATAGCATTCAAGTTTTCAGCTTAAAATCTGTAGGCTGTTTATACTTTTAAAAAGTGGCAATACAGTAGTGAGAGGAGAATTCTATGGTTCCTTTCTGGGAATTTCAAAGAGCTGCAGGGACTTTTCAAGAGTTAATAGAACTTTCTTCGAAATCAAACGTGAGAACATAAAGTGAAAAATTAATAAAACCCAGGATAATTCCAAGTGACCGTGTTCACTTGTCTTGTGATGCTTTATTGAAAGGAACACTCTACTCGATGACTCACCAGACGTACGCTGTACCGGTTGAACTCACTCAGGCGTGCACCGTGGCCCCCCGAAGCCAGGAGGGCACACTCAGCGTCCCCACCCTTGTGCCCAGCCGAAAATGGCCAAATGGGAATTAGCCCACTGCTGACACATTAAAAAGAAAATAGAGGTTTCAGACTAGATGAAATTCTGCCTTAGATGATGAAATACTGTTATCCTAAATAAATAAATAAATAAGATAAACCTAAGTATGATTTTTTCAACCTAATTAATTTGTGGACTTGCAGAGTAGATTTCGGGCACCTACTCCAGGTGATCCCTTCCAGCCAATGAGAAGATACTTCATTGAACTCTCATCCTCTCGTGACTGTGGACCAATCAGCTACAACCTGTCCCACAGGAGACGTTCAGTCAGGAAGTGACTGACTGAATGAATGAATGTACTGTTGAGCCCAAACCGGAATTTCTGTAACCGTTTTTACATCAGCTTTTATGAAGGTGCAGCGCTCATTGGGTTGCTGATATAAATTGGTGTTTACTGGATTCCTCAAGCAGTTCGCACAGGTTTGTTTTCAAGGCGCGAGCTACCGACCGGGCCCCACAAATCTTCACGAGTGCCGTTGAGTCAAAGGAGTAATGTAACTCTGCCTTTATGAAATTGTGCCCTGAATTAAATCAACAGGGAATGAAAAACATCTGGTGTTTGAAAAGGGCTACATTGATTATGAATAAAATTTGTATTAGATGAAATTGAAAGTTAAGAGTATATTTCTATTCTTGTAGGTTAGAATTTTCTTCTCTCCCCAGGATGGGTTAATTAGAAAGTAAAATTTTATCTTGCCTAATGGTAATTTTATTATGAGGGAAATATCTCCTCCAAAAATCCTCCTTTTTTTTTAAACGTGGAGGAGGACATGACATTTAATGGTTTTCATTTCAAAGATTCGGTCATATTTTAGGCAGATTCAAGAGTCGAATGGGCAAGTGCGGTGAATGCTTTGATGTCCTGCACAAACAGCGTTACGTGTTAGGTGTGGACTCCTCCAAAATAACGGGAACAAGCTAATTTCAAGTACAGACTCTGGCTGCCGGCTTTTCCAGCAACGTCCAACCCAACCTGCTCCACACTCCGGGGTCCAGCCCCAGCGTGATGACCAGTCCAAAAGGGCTTTCACATTTTTTTCGTTGCCTCAGAAATTTTGCTGTCATCCGAGAAAATGGAAACCAATGATATCTAGGTTTCATTCGCAGTCATTTTGCCTTGCTCCCTCCCGGTGCCGGGTCTCCTCGCACGCCTTCTGCACCAGACTGGCTGCTTCCTCAGTCAGCGCTGCGTTCCGAGTCACCCTGGCAGCATCTGCGTCTTGTGCTCCAAAGAGCGAACAGATTCGATACTGCAGCTGGGGATGGCCAGCAAGGGGCCGACCTGCAGGGGCCGAGGTGACCGGCCGTGCTCCCACAGCCACAGATGTGGCCACCGAGGCCACAGTCTGCATTTCTCTCCACGAGCAGCCTGCACATGAAATATAAATGACTAAAATTAAATTTCAGCTATAGTTTTTGTTTTTTTTTTTTTGCTCAAAGACTAATTGGGAGAACCTGAAGGTAGAGTAATGATTAAAACTATAGATCGTCCCACCAAGGGACCATGGCATTTTCTGGCATTTCCATAAATCGAATGCAGGAGCGCTGTGGAGTTGGGTCAAGGACCTCAAAACTCCGGTGACCGTCCTCATTAAATATGCATATGCACACAGCAATGATTGTGTGATGAATTATTCATCCCCGTTACAAAGTGCATGCCGCATCTTAAAAGGGAATGCTAATCCCGAACTTTTTAATGTTAACACACACACACACACTCTCACACTCACAGGACGCCGTGCTGTTGACCTGTAGCCTTGATTTGAGTCTTCTGCTCAGATATTCCGATTGGTGCCCTTGTCGTATCTCACAAACAAATCTTGTAGATTATGGCTTCTCTTTAGTAGTACATTTTGGAAGACTGAACTGTATTTTTTTAAAGCTGACTTAGATCCATTTTGGACTTAAAAAATAGACCTGTATTCGTATGCACAAATTTACGGATTTGAGTTTAAATCGTAGGCCTGGGATGTGCACAGTGGACTAGGGACCATGTTTTGGATGCTTCTACAAGAACCTGTGAATCAATTACTTGTTTGACTTCTCATAGTGAAGGGGATTTTCAAGCCTACGTTGTTTTTTTTTTCTTGCAATCTAAGTGGTTGCAACTTCTCATTCATTTTTAAAAAATATCACGACCATAGTAACCTTTAACAGTCTGATTCGATTCGATGAAATGTCAGAACCTCCGTTTCCTCTGCTGCCCCATCAGCTCCTGCATGGCAGGTTACCTGCTCTGCCAGCCACAGCCTGAGGCTGTTTGACCGAGAATTTCAGTCTTGAAAGTCTTCCTCTAGGGGCTGTGGCCGGGAAAAATAAAAAAGGGAAATTCTAACCTCCTTGAACTCTTGCTAGTCGGGGACCTTTGTTTTATTCTATTTTTGAACTGCAGAGCTCTACTTGTAGGAAATAAGTTGGAATAGAGGAAGAGTCCAAAGAATTAAGGGGACAGTGAGCTTCCATATTGTAAAAGGTGACCCCTTGATAGGGACTCTGCCCATTGAAATGCTCCCTGCAGTCCCCACCAGACCAGTTTCCCAGCATCCCCAGCTCCTTCCGCCAGTCGGTGTTCTGGACTGGTGGCTTTTCTGTCAGATGCTGAGGTCTAGTCGGAGAGGTGCCAGTCCATCCCTCCGGGCACAGCTCTGTCCTCATACTTTGGGGGTGCTGGCCTGCAGATACAAGGGGTGGAAACCCAGACTCGTCCCAGGGCCAGTCACCGTGACCCAATGCATGTTTGCCTGTTGGTCATTATTCATTCTGAATCAAAACAAAGCTACCGTCTGAATAAAATACATACTTTGTGTTACTTTTCCCATATGTAAAAGTTACAACTACTGCATAAGAAAATTCCAGAATATATGCTGATACAATTTCATCTCTTTCTTCATTCTAAGTGAGATAATTATAACAACTCTTGAGAAAACTGCTAGCCACTAGATAACCCCAAGATCTGTGAAATACGTTAATGCTAGATTTATCTCCCCACTTTGCAAGGCCCCATGAAAAGTTCCTCCCAATATGCAAAGGAGAGAGCAGAGTGAATTGAAGCAGTCAGTTTAATCTATCATTCGTTCGTTTGAATGATGGCAAAGATAAGCACTCAACTTTACTTTTCCTAGTAATTTTATTTAGTCATCTTTATTTTTAATGAATTTCTCTTTCCTTGAAACTCCTCGGAGCGTGCTGGCACTCTATCAATCAGTAGCAAAAACAGAGAAATCACTGGATTCTCTGCTGGAATGAAGTGGATGGAGGCTGTATGGAAAATAGCGTTGCCAAGTCAACCAAGCACTCCAAGCAGAATTCAAATCTCATGATAACTCCAACCACAATACGCCAAGAGGGAAACAAAAACGAAATTGTTCCCAAATGAAAGAGGAGGAAAAGCAGCATGAAGTAGTCACACTCTCGGTCCTTTGAACAACTTGCTTTCTGTCCTTGGGTGATTCATTTAATTTCCCTGGGTTTTGAATTCCTGTCTGTAAAATGAGAACATTGGACTAAATCAGTAGTTTCCAAATTACGAACCTTGGAATAATTGCAAGGAGGCCTTGAATTCATATGCTTTATATTCTTCCACAATCACTAGGGCTGGAAAGCCCAATTGCAGCCATGTGGGAGTTGGAAAAACATTTTTATATTTTTTTATAAAGATCTTTATTTGAAAAACGTTGACGCTCTGCCTGAATGATATGTGAAGCCTTTTCAGATTGTAGAACACCACCCTTTATGAGTTAGATACCCAGATGTCGAGCCGGGTTTCTCCTGGAGCAGCCTCGTTATCGGAGAGGACA